CAATGAATGTGTAGACGTCATAGGATATTATATGTATATATTTTTATTATTTTTAAATACACCCTCATAACTTTTAATATTTGTAAATACACCCCCATAACTTTTAATATTTATAAATATGGTCCTCTATCCGTATCTTACTTTTTTTTTTGTTTTGACGTATCCCCGTTTCCGCGTACCGGTATCAGTGCTACATAGGCCGTAAACATAAATGTCATCTGCCCATTTTGTTTGATAGTCGAGACATACAAACTTGATATCCATGTCCATCTGAAGAATATATGATAAATTAATCACTATTAATCCATGACTTGATAGTGGATTTATAGAATCAATGACTATTTTCTGAAGATCTAGAGAGTATCAGAGGCTCACAACAGTAGGAATGGGCATAAAAACATAACCGATTTACGTTCAAAATAACCAAAAAACCGGCATGTTTTTGGTTATCCAAGGTCGGTTAACCGATAACCCAATGTTCATATATTACATGGTTCGTATATGCCATCAAATATTTTAGTTACACTGCAACGACAACCATGCAACGAATTCTAATAAAGAAAAAACCGACGACTTGTTTTATTTAGTGTTTTACATGGAAAGAAAACAAGCTACCTAAATCTGCCCACTAACGTATATACTACTCTGTATAATATACGAAGTAGTAAACGCCTGACAAATAAAGTAACAAAATATTCACAATAACAATGCTCAAATTCCAACAAATTCAAACCAGCTAGGAAGAATCCACAAACGAAGTGTTAAATAGGGATAAAGAATGGTATCGGTAGTCATTGCATTTCAGTGTGCGTATAATTATACAAAGTATCTTCTAATTTATTTATAAAAAAAGTTGCTTCAATTTTTGAATTTTTAATATAAAACTGTAGAGTTTTATATTTGTCCTACATTAAAGGCTAAAAAAGTATAGCAAGTACTCTGCATCTCACATCTTCAAATTTCACATTGATCCTACGCAAAATTTTATAATTTAGCAGTTCAATTACATTTTTTATTCATTTAATGGTTATTCAGTTAACCGGAATTTCGGTTAACCAATGCCCGGTTAACCGAAATCATGGTATGGATACTGATATAGAAAATATAGTACCGGAACTCTCGGTTAACCGAAAGTTGGTTAACCGAAACACGGTTAACCAACCATGCCCACCCCTGACAACAAACCTTAAATACCAGGAATGGTTTGTGCAACACCTGAGCGGCTGAGCCTATTTTCTGGAAGTTGTCAACCAAAAACAACTCATAATGGACTACCCTATACAAATACAAAAGGTAAAATATCACTCCGTACTAGCAGCAGTAGAAGGTATTTCAAAATAAAAGGATATACTCATCAAACATGCAAATAAAAACTTAATTAGAATTGAGTTCAGATGAAAACATACTCCAAAAATAATCAAAAGTTTAAACTCAAAACCACTATATTTCATTACAAAGTTCAATACTTAAAATTCAAAAGCAATACACTTTGCACTTAAAAGCTATATTATCAAACCTACCCACCAAAACTTATTTGAGTTTGATGTAGCTTCCTTTTTTTGTGAAAATAAAATTGTAAGTCTTGGTCGAATATCCTAAGGTCATGTTTGGTATGACGTAATCAACCACGTAATGTAATATAATGAGCATTATATGTTGATTTGATTATGGTGTTTGATATGTCATTTTATTTTGAACCGTAATGTAATGATCATTGCACATGTAGATTTCATTACTTTGATATGTGTAATAAGCATGACACTAAACAAGATGTGTGTTTGAGATTATAGTTTAGTTGTACACCATGTCTACTCTTTGCATAGGTTTAGATGATTGTTCCTAAATCGTGGCCTACTGAGTTCCTTGATCCTAAGAATAACCCTAAAGTTTTTGAATGCATTAAGTACAAAGAATATTCCAATCTCTCAAAAGAAAGGGATTGTTTATTACCATTCACCATTCACCTTCACCTTCATAAGTCATTCTGATCACTAGCTAGTTTATTAGTGTACGCTGTCATTACTTTAAGGATGTTGTGAATAATTTTGTCAAACAGTTTAGCTTGAGTACAAAGATATAGTTTAGTGAAGATTTTCAAAGCTTAGAATGTCTGTTCTGTGAGTATCCCTTTAGCTACATGTGCATGCTAACTGTTTTAATTCCGTGTGGTGATTATCGTAAGTCCCGTTGTTCAATTTGCTTGAGGACAAGCAAAAGCTTAAGTGTGGGGTAATCTGATAAGTTCGTATTTCAACACGCTTTTAATGCGTGTTGGAGTCGGATTTTGATGGTTTTCCTCGCTTTAAGGCGTCATGATTATCATGTTTAGCTCAAGTCATGTTAGTCGGGTGTTGGAACGAGTTTTGACATTTTAGATATGAAATCAGGTCTTTTAGGGCCCGGTATCGGCGCATTAAGGAGTGATCGGGATGAGTTGAGAAGTGTTCGAGAATGAATTCAGAGTAGGGGTGGACTCAGGTCCGGGCCGGGTCCGGGTCGGGCCTAGGCCCGGGCGGGCCGGCGGTTCAAGAATGGTGGACCCGGGACCGGCCCGGGTAGCCACCGGGTCCGGGCCTCCGGTTTGGATTTTTTTTTTTTTTTGCTTTCCTACCCCCCACCCTCCCAAACCCCCCCAAACCCATCCTACCCATCAAGCCCAACCCGGGTGGAACCCTAAAAATGAAAAAAAAATAAAAAAAATTCAATTTGGCCCGGGCCCGAGCCCGACCCGGCAGGGCCGGTTCACCAAAATTGAGACCCGAGCCCGGACCCGCCCTACCCCCGGGCCTAGGCCCGACCCGGACCCGAGAACCGGGCCGGTCCCGGTCCCGCACAGTAGCGGGCCGGGCCGGTCCACGGGCCGGGTGGCCCGACCCGAGTCCAACCATAATTCAGAGTTTTGAAGGGCACCGAGAGATTCACGATGAAGATTTGATGAAGAAAGAGTTGTTCGATTGATCGCGGGGCCAAACGGGGACTTGAACGGGAGAAAACGAGGAATTCAGAAGAGAAAGGGCTGCGGCCGTGTGTGCAAGGACGCACGCGTACGTCCAATGAAGAAAACGAATTAGACCTTACTGCCAGCCACGCACGCGTGCGTGGCTAGGGACGCACGCGTGCGTCCCCCTTTTTACGCGGATGTCTGTGTGCGTCCCCCTTTTTACGCGGATGTCTGTCGGACGCACGGACGCCACGCACGCGTGCGTGGTGCCGTGCGTACCCAAAATCTTTCCTAATTCAGCTCAAATTGCCTTGTTTCCTTTAAATACCACCCTAAAACCCTAATTAAAGGGGGATGGAACTTATTTAGCAGCTGGGACGAATTTGAGAGCTTTTTAGCCCTGGTTTTTTCTATTCGTTGAGATTCTTTGTAAGTTCCTACTTTTTAATTAATGGCAATTATTTCTATTCTTCCCAATTCTATTGATTCTTCAATTATGAGTCGGGAGTAGTTTTAATTAGGGATTTGGGATTGATGAAGGGGTTAATCACGATGTATGGTTAGGTTCTTGGTGGTGTAAATTGCATGAATGTCGTTTAATTTTTGTTTGAGTAATTTAATTGATCTTTTGTAACCTAGATAGCCACTAGAATTACAGTTGCATATAGAATAAATTAAGAGAGAACTAATTTGTTCTAGGACACATTCATACACACTTAATCGTTCGCTATAAGATTAGTAGCGATTAAGGGGTCGTAAGCTCGTTCGTCTTGGCAACAATTTAGGATCTTGTCGCATGAGAGATCAGCTTGGTCCCCTAAGTTATTGTACTCTACGCCGCGGGAGCGGTACGAACTTAGTATTGATTAGCTAGGTTCAATTAAATTAAATTCATGTAATTAAGCCTGATCTGCCAGAAATCTGATTACCCCGGAATCAATCCTTGTTCCCTTCGTCGTTAATTAAGAAGAACCCATATATTTACTTTTATTCGTTTATTTGCAATTTTAATTTTCTCAATCAACCAAATCTCGCACGACCGCATTTATTTTATTTATTCTTTATCGCTGATTTTAGTTAGTCCTTAATTCCCTTTTACCGTTCCTGTGGAGACGATACTCGTACTTTCACCGCTATTCTACAATCTTTTTAAGTGCGAGAAAACTCACATCAGTTTTTGGTGCCGTTGCCGGGGACGCACACGTGCGTCCCATCTTTTAAAACGACTCTGCGATTTCTTTTCCACTCGCAACAACAAAACATCCCATAGCTCCTCCCCGTACCCGCGACCCACGGTCGAACCAAGACCACCGCACGCCGCCAACCGCTGCAACTCCGAGACCATCCCACCCCATTCTATCTCCTCTACTCCAACCAAGGTAATATTCTCTTTCTCCACTGTCTTTTCCCCATTAATGGTGTTTTCAAGCTTTGTGATGTCCGATTTTGCATGAGCTCGAAAATTAGGGATTTGATTTTGTTTGTTCAAATTGAGGCTTATATTGTTGCTATTAATGTTCTACTTGGATGATTTTGCCTCTTTTGCTTGAATTCCCTAATTTTCGAGTTGATCTTGCCAAATTAGGGTAAATGTTGCCAATGTGACCATAAATTGGGGTTTTTTGATTTCTATGCTATCTTTGAGGTTGAATGAATGTTTGTGATGATCTATGATTTTTGTTGAGTCCTTTTATGCATGAATCCCCAATGTTTAGGCCAAACTTTGTCAAATTTGAGAATTGGGAGTTCTTTCCCTAATTTTGATTTTCCTTCTAATTCTTTTGGGAAGAATTTCCTTCTAAACATTTGGGATAATAAACGATGCTTGCTTGTGATCTTGTTTATACCGTGTGTCGTTGAAAATTTGAATTTTATTCCAAGAACTCTTCTTTGATAAAAGTTCAAAATTTTCAACTATTCTGGTTAAATTTGGGATTGTTTTAGTTAATGATGATCTTGGTTGATTAATTGCTGACGGGGCCATTTATCTTCTATGATTTTGCTCAATTCTAACACTCGAAAGCCCCGTTGGAATTCCTTTGTTTAAACCTTTTTGCAGATGGGCCGCACCAAACAGACCTCCAAACGACAGCACAGGGGCCGGCTCAAGCCGAGCTGGACAAAGTGGGAGCCGTCAGCCGGCTGCCCCATATATGCCTCAGTTCGTGGACGAGGCGCAAAGGCAAAAATATGAGGAGCTGATGAACATGAGTGTGAGGCAAAGATTGTATCCCCATTTACCCACCTTAGGGCAGGTCGGCATACGGGATGAGGTCATGCAGCTCCTCCATCGTAATTGGTGGCAACACCTCTTTTTCGGCATCAATGAGCCCACATACAAAGAGATCACATGTGAGGTGCTGTCTTCTTTCAAGGCACCCAAGACCTTTGACAACATTTTTCTGTCGGTGATCAAATTCCGAGCTTTCGGTGAGTCTCACATCATATCGGTGAGCGACATTTCAACACATCTTGGCTTCAATACTCTAACTGACGTGGCCCGGTTTGAGGGGAGCTTACTAGACATTCCCCCAGAAGTAAACCGGAAAGACTTCTGGAAGTCTATAGCCCCTGGTGTCGGTGATTACAAACCCCAGACTGCACCCAGCACTACACTTCACCCATTCCAGTTCCGGGTGGTCCACGCCCTCCTTAGCTCTACCGTTTCCGGGTGGTCCATGCCCTCCTTAGCTCTACTGTCTCTGGTGCATGATCAACGAGAGAAGGCCGATCTTTGGAGCTTTATTCGCAGGCCTGTTCCTCATACAGGCTAATTATCGAGTTAAGGCGATTTTCGCCGGTCCTTACATCATGCGCTTGCTGAAAGGAATGGGGTACGAAGATCGGTTTGAGGGGATGACCCGGATAGATAGCACTCATCCGATGAAGAAGCTGCCTAAGATTATTCCGTTGAGGGCGCAGGAACAGGGCGCAGGAGCGACAGAGGGGATCATGGAGACAATGAAGAGGAGGATGTGGAGCATGGAGAGCACGAGCATAGAGAGCGCGAGATGAAGCACGAGATGACGCACGAGGTCCCTTATGTGCCCCCTCCCCAGGGTTACGTTTATCCCAACACCTGGGAGGGGATGCATCAGCATCAAGAAGATACTTACATACGACTCTACCGGCACCAGCAGCAGTTTTTCGCTGACATCACCTCTGGCCTAGCCTCGATCGACACGCGGCTGACAGCCCTGGAGAGTCGATGGGATGGCCAGCACACTGACGAGCACTACCCACCCCCTCCCCCATTTTAGATTGTTACATGACATTATTATTACACTACTTCACCGCACACTTTATTACTTTGTCACTCTTGTTTGTGGATGTTGTATTTCTATTCTTTTGTGAGTGCAACTATGTTTCGGGAAAAATCTTACTTAGCGGCATGGAACGAGGTAGCGGTAGAGGGCAGGACCAGCTAAATGACCTAGGGGAGTTTCTCTGTTCCTTATTCGCTTCCATACACCCGTTTCAATTTTGACTTGAGTTACGTTTGAGCATGCGTGACCCTTTCCCTTTACCCCTGTGCATAATACATTTTTGGCCATCGAGGGCGATGCCAAAGTTTAAGTGTGGGGGAGTGAATTGGACATCCGGGCAGTAGTTGTTATATGTGATTTTTAGAGTTAGCATGCGCATGTGTTAGTTGTATATTCATAGAAAAGTCATGTCAAATTTTTGAAAATTTTTCTTTTAACTTTGTCTTTGTGAGCTAGCTAGCGTTTTGACTATGTTTTTAGGACATCTCTGAAGTGTTTAGGCTTAAATTGCTGCACGATGAATTAGTTGTTGAGAGGATGAAGGCATTAGGCACCCATTGAACTAATTAAATTATCCATCCCACCCGAATAAGTCCTTTAGGGAGAAGCCACTTTGAGCCGGACCGTTTTTTCTTTATCCAATTAATTGAGCTCCATAGCCAAATGGTCTGTGTTTCCTTACCCGTGAATATTTCTGACTTAGTCTTGATGTTTAGAGAACTAGGGAATTGATTTGCCAAGTCTAGGGATATTTGTGTAGGAGCCACTTTTGGCACTGTTCCTATGCCCCAAATGGGGTAAGAGCAGTCACTGTTTAGGAATTTGATACTTTCGAGGATTGCAATGTAGGCATGGATTCACTTTTGAAAAAAAGAACTTTAATTGATATTTTTCCTTGGTGAGACCGAGATTAGAATGAGGTAATGTCTAGTAAGAATCCGAAAGGTGAAAAGTTAATAAAAAGAGAAAGGGAGTCCCGGTCAAAAAGCGTAAGTGTTCACCCAATAAGATGAGACTTGGGTATCTTTCGAAAGAAATGGTGTTCTCGTGCCAACATGACAAGGAAAACTAAACTTAATTAATGAACTTGGAGGCTTTAGCAAAATTAGCTTTAGCCCTCCGCGTACTTCAAGTATACGTCAAAGCCACCAATGTGCAGCGGTGGTTAAGCTTAGTTGTACACCATGTCTACTCTTTGCATAAGTTTAGATGATTGTTCCTAAATCGTGGCCTACTAAGTTCCTTGATCCTAATAATAATCCTGAAGTTTTTGAATGCATTAAGTCTTTGTTAGAATATTCCAATCTCTCAAAAGAAAGGGACTGTTTATTACCATTCACCTTCACCTTCATAAGTCCTTCTGATCACTAGTTAGTTTATTAGTGTACACTGTCATTACTTTAAGGGTGTTGTGAATAATTTTGTCAAACGGTTTAGCTTGAATACAAAGATATAGTTTAGGGAAGATTTTCAAAGCTTAGAATGTCTGTTCTGTGAGTATCCCTTTAGCTACATGTGCATGCTAACTATTTTAATTCCGTGTGGTGATTATCGTAAGTCTCGTTGTTCAATTTGCTTGAGGACAAGCAAAAGCTTAAGTGTGGGAGAATCTGATAAGTTCGTATTTCAACACGCTTTTAATGCGTGTTGGAGTCGGATTTTGATGGTTTTCCTCACTTTAAGGCGTCATAATAAGGGGCAGACACACGTTCAAGTTAATGGGGGCACATGCCCCCAACAAAGTTTTCTTTTTAATTTAAAAAATTATGTTTTTATTAAATAATTAGGATGTGCCCCCAATAAAAAAATGAAATGCCCCCAATAAAAAGAAATATGCTCTCTGGCCCGAGAACAAAAACAATAACGGAGTCTTAGCTTCTACAAGCTGAGTGAGTGTTTTTTTTTTGTACAATTATTTAATATTTGGGCTTATTTTACAAATGGGAGTAAATATAAGCTACTCCCTCCGTCCCCTTATTATTATCCCATTTCCTATTCACTTGGTCAACACAAATCATTTTTAATCTCTTACTTTATTTATCAAAATTTTATCAATTTTGATTCTAGTTTTCGCGACTTTGTAAATCTTTTAATGTAGTTTCTGAATATGCATTTTTTTTTCTAAAAATAATTATAGTGCGGATAGGGATCTGTTTGCTTTATCGTCAGTCAAGCATCGTAAACCGCAATGGGACAATAACAGGGGGACGGAGGTAGTAAATTGCAAAAATGAGAGTATAATTTTTAATTTTCCGAAATAGAGTAACTTTTCCTATCGTACCCTTATCGTTCGTTCATAATAATTTTTTCATTTAAATTAATAAAACACAAAGAGTGAAAACTCAAATATAAAAAACATAAACAAAACATGCGGGTCTCAACCACCTTGGAACACTACCACGTTGAAAAAATCAATTTTGCACTTGTCACGGAATTAGTCACAGACACGTCCGTGACTAATTGTAGTCACAGTACTAGTCACGGAACCATCCGTGACTAATTTCAAATTTAAAAAAAATCCCGCCGGAGGCGAAAATGGGTTGGCCGGAACACTTTAGTCACGGACTAGGTCCGTCACTACCTATAGTCACGGACGTAGTCACGGACAAATCCGTGACTACTTTTGTTTTAACCGTTCCGTAACTAAACCGTGATTAGAACCGTGACTAACTAGTCACGGACCAAATCCGTGACTACGGTCCGTGACTACAGGCGAATTTTTTTGTAGTGGGTCACAGGTTTGGGAGAGCCTGAGGTAAATAGGGCTGAAACTTCCTTCATGGAGTTTCGAACCTGAGAACTCCTGTATGGAAGAGTAATACAATCATCTTCATGTTATTTTCAGTGAAAATGTGACATTTGTTCATTTACATTTTTATTGTATGTAAAAGTCTTTTTCTATTATTCTTATGCTTTTATTTTAAGTTAAAATATGATTTTCTTACTGATAAGGTAGAGCATAAGAAAAGTGAATATAAATTACTCTTATTTTGAGAATATAAAACTATAGTTTTATTTTTGCCTATTCGAATTATCTTGCTTCTATTCGGGGCAATATTTTACTAATTCTTGACACATTAAGAGTATCTTTAATTTTTATTGTTCTCAAAATTACATTTGTTCACATGAATACCCTTACATCAGAGTCTTAGAGTAGTTGCGCCACTATATGTATGTTACTGGTGCCCCCAATAACAAATTTTTCTGTATCCGCCACTGGTCATAATTATCATGTTTAGCTCAAGTCATGTTAGTCGGGTGTTGGAACGAGTTTTGGCATTTTTAGATATGAAATCAGGTCTTTTAGGGCCCGGTATCGGCGCATTAAGGAGTGATCGAGATGAGTTGAGAAGTGTTCGAGAATGAATTCAGAGTTTTGAAGGGCACCGGGAGATTCACGATGAAGATTTGATGAAGAAAGAGTTGTTCGATTGATCACGGGGCCAAACGGGGACTTGAACGGGAGAAAACGAGGAATTCGGAAGAGAAAGGGCTACGCACGGCCGTGTGTGCAAAGACGCACGCGTGCGTCCAATGAAGAAAACGAACTAGACCTTACTGCTAGCCATGCACGTGTGCGTGGCTAGGGACACACGCGTGCGTCCTCCTTTTTACGTGGATGTCTGTCGGACGCACGGACGCCACGCACGTGTGCGTGGTGCCGTACGTACCCAAAATGTTTCCTAATTCAGCTCAAATTGCCTTGTTTCCTTGAAATACCACCCTAAAACCCTAATTAAAGGGGGATGGAACTTATTTAGCACCTGGGACGAATTTGAGAGCTTTTTAGCCCTGGTTTTTTCTATTCGTTGAGATTCTTTGTAAGTTCCTACTTTTTAATTAATGGCAATTATTTCTATTTTTCTCAATTCTATTGATTCTTCAATTATGAGTCGGGAGTAGTTTTAATTAGGGATTTGGGATTGATGAAGGGGTTAATCACGATGTATGGTTAGGTTCTTGATGGTGTAAATTGCATGAATGTCGTTTAATTTGTGTTTGAGTAATTTAATTGATATCTTTTGTAACTTAGATGGTCACTAGAATTACAATTGCATATAGAATAAATTAAGAGAGATCTAATTTGTTCTAAGACACATTCACACACACTTAATCGTTCGTTAAGAGATTAGTAGCGATTAAGGGGCCGTAAGCTCGTTCGTCTTGGCAACAATTTAGGATCCTGTCGCATGAGAGATCAGCTTGGTCCCCTAAATTATTGTACTCTACGTCGCGAGAGCGGTAAGAACTTAGTATTGATTAGCTAGGCTCAATAAATTAAATTCATGTAATTAAGCCTGATCTGCCAGAAATCTGATTACCCCGGAATCAATCCTTGTTCCCTTCGTCGTTAATTAAGAAGAACCCAAATATTTACTTTTATTCGTTTATTTGCAATTTTAATTTTCTCAATCAACCTAATCTCGCACGACCGCATTTATTTTATTTATTCTTTATCGTTGATTTTAGTTAGTCCTTAATTCCCTTTTACCGTCCCTGTGGAGACGATACTCGTACTTTCACCGCTATTCTACAATCTTTTTTGTGCGAGAAATCTAACATCAATGCATTTTAGACTAGAGTGAGTGCACGACGGGATGAGTCATGCCAAGTAGTGTGCGTCGAGTGGCACCGTGCATGTGTTGTAGCGGCACTATTGTGTGTATGTGTCGTTGCATTAACGTTAGTATATTTTGCATGGGTTGGTTACGCAAAATTAGTTGCATGCATGTTCATTAGTGGGATTAGTGGGATTAGTGGATTAGTTGTAACTTACATTTTGTATTTGTCTATTTAATGGAAAAGAATGGTATGATGCTTTCTTTGAGCACAAAAAAAAAGCTACGTATATATTTTTCCTTCTAAGCAACAATCCCATTAGAGAGCTACCGTATGTTTTTCCCTAAGCTTTGACTACACATTGATTATAAGCTAACGTAGAGCACTAACAATGATATTAAATGCAATATATTTAATTCGACGTAAAAATACTAAAATTATTAAATCTAAATAAATAAATAAAAGAACTATAAATAAATTCGTAATTAAGGAGGATGAGAGGAGAACTAATGTTGGTGGAAGTGGAGTAATATGTAACCGGATGTGCAGTGATGTCGTGCAGTAACTACACTTAAAGTGCAGTATTTTTAATAGTAATTGTCCTCTATAGGATTAAAAGTAAACCTAAATCCCTAAATAGGACTACAAGTTTTTAATTCCCTAAATAGGACTCTGGATTACCATTATACCCTCCTATATAATAACATCAAAACCCTAAAATTATAACGCTCATTCTCGATCATTATCTCTGCGCCTCGCCTCTCTCTCCCCCTTTCATCCGCCGGTTGTTCTCCTTCTTTCGGTTGCAGTTGGTTTTCCGATCCTTCACCACACACCACTCTACACCACCCACTGGTTCTTCATTGCTACCGTCATCGCTCCCCATCTTCCAGGTTTTCTTCTCATTCCTTGTTCTTCTCCTCCTCTTCTTATCCTTCTTCTTCTTCTTCATCCCCTCCTCTGTTTTTCATTTAGAAATCAAGCAAATCACTCATTTTGTTGTTTTTCGAAGTTTTTTTATTTGATTCAATTTTCTGAGTTTTCACATCATTTTTTCTGTTTTTTAGAAATTGATTTCGTAGATCTGATTTCAATTTCATTGAACTTGTAATTTCATTAAAAATTCCGTTTTTTCGATTTTGGACACTGGGTTCGTTTTTTGCCACAATTATGGCAGTTTCGTGTAATTTATTATGACAGAAAAAACACATTTTGTTTTTTCTTCTTTTTCCATGTTTTTTCTTTTCTGTAGATTTCTTTTATGTCATCAATTTTTATGAGTTTTAAAATTGATTTCTCTGATTTCGTTAAAAACCCTGATGTCTAGTTTATGATTTGGTATATCGGGTACATATTTTGCCAACTTTTTGGCAGAAAAACTATTGCTTTGAGATCAATTACAACATACTTCCACTTTTATGGCAAATCTAATATTAATAATGGCAGAAAGATTCTAAATTTATTCCAATTTTATGGCAAATCTGATCTACAACATGATTTTTTAGGTAACAAGATGGCAGATTTGCATCCACAAAACTGACAGAGATGGTTGGAGTGGGGCATCGGAAAGAGGAAAGGCCAGCAGCAGCGGCACCGGAAAGGGAGGTGGCGGTTGGGTGGCCGCAGATTTTTTCCGGCAGCGGCATTTTTGTGGTGGCGGATTTCTTCCCAGCGGCAGTTGGGTGGTCTTGTTTCCGTCAAACGCTGGGAGATTGTTTGGGTTATTTTTTTATTTTTTTAATTGTAAATAGAATTAGAAATTCATTAAGGGTAACTTTGTCAACTAAATACATTTTTAGTCCTATTAAATATGGAAGTCCTATTTGTGCACTTGTTTATTGTTTTAGTCCTATTTAAGGCATTAACTCAATGAATCTATTTTTAATTGAACGAAAATAGTATAAAATAGACATTTTTTAAGTAAGGGTATTTCGGTCATTAAACATCCTAATAAGAACGAAATTTTCTTTTTAGTTTTGTTTTTCAGTCATACTAATGTAAAAAAGCATACCTAGTCATATTTAGGAAATTCAATATGTTTTAGTCATATTCCGGTAAATTTCTCTATTTATAAACATGACCAATGTGCTAGCAACGTACGTTATCTAATACTTTGTATATATATACTTCGTACTGGGCAAGCGAAAGAGATGATGGATGATTTTGATCGAGTACCAGTCTACTAGCTAATATATATACATATATTGTTCTACTATACCTTGCTTGGTGGTTTTATCAAAGAAACATCCCCTCATACTTCGTATAACATTTCTGCTGGATAATATTATTCTACTCTCATTGTTCTGTTACCGAATTACGTCGAAGAACTCGTTTTATCTTGGGAAAATGTTTTCGTTAGTGGGAAATACTTTCTTGAGAACAGTGTTTACGTGACTAGAGTTATATTACTACCTATTTTTCTAAACGCTTTTTGCAGGTTTATCCGGTCGAATTGTTCCAACAAGCTCAAGAAAGTATTTTGACTTCGGACAAACCTGCACGAACAATCTCTGAAAGTATCCTTGGACGAAGTATGCTCCTGCGATTTCATTCAAATTGGCTGCTGAAATCTTTGCTTAGAAGCCCGCTACTAAATCTGGTATTTTCATCAACTATTGTAGTCTCTGCATCTTTATATGTTACTTTATTGCAATGTGTGATAATTTTATGTGTCACCCAATTTATAATTGGCCTTATTTTAATCCCAATTATAATAATATATGTCGTTTTAAGTGATAAAAAGACAATTATGAAAAACAACAATTCACTTAAGTCAAATCTATAATTGATTAAAAGTGATGTGAACAATCACAAAGGCTGCCGTAAGAATGGATGGTATGTGTTATACGTTTCTAACTTAATGACATGCCTTGGAATGCTTATTTTAGAAGTTTTATTAATTTCTTCTATTCCTATTTTTCCCCATATAAATTCTCATCTTAATCCTCACGGTGTGTAATATTTACGGAGTAGTACTTTGCAAATTGCGTGAATAACCCTTGTTGTTCACGCGGTTGTAGTTTGAATTTTTTATTGTGTTCAAAACTTCAAATGTGACTATTGAAAGGAATATGGAATTCTCAAACATCCTATCTCTGTATGACTAATTATTAGACTATACAAGTATACAAGTCTTTTATTTGGTCCAAAAGGTGGAATCTCCCATCCGAGGAGCCCCATACCCCGACTCGACAGGATTTTTGGGAGGATGTTAATCACGGTGACTCAGTCCGCCCAATGATGGTAGTCCTTTTTCCCGTGCGCACCAGAAGTCTAGCCTTATTTCAGGTTCTGTGACCTCCACACGACCACTGCGGGTTTCGAACCTTGGTCACTTGATCCAAATTTATCACCACTGAACCAACTGAGCTACTAGTGCGGGTTACAAGTCTTTTATTAACATCTTTTACGTACTCTTGTATGTAGGAGCAATACAGTATTTTTATTCTTGAAAATTAGAAGAAGGAAAATATCTTTGGTCAAAGATTAATTCGCATTTGCATGCTTGTCACATAAACACCTTGTTGTGAGTGCATGGTACATTGATTTGCATTCTGGACTATTGTTAAATATTAAATTTAAATTCTGTGTTATAGACCCTTTTGCATGTTTGCTACGTAGTTTGTGAATGACTATATTTTGTACCATTTCTTTTATACTAGTATAGTACCCGTGCATACGCACGGGAAAGAGCAGTCCGAGCATATAATTTTACGATCTAATTAAATATTAAAATCAAAATAATTTATAGGATTCAACATTTTTGAAAAATAATAGTACAATATTCTAGTACCATAAAGTATACCTCATACAATAAATATTCAATGAAGAGTATATTAGGAAAATATAATTGACAACACTCATTAAAATTTGCAGCTTATTAATTTTGATGATTAAATTAATTTTGAAATTAAATACTATTCTAAAAAAGTGAGTACAATAAGTGATTGTCATAAAGTTTAAGTGAATACAAATGAATATTAAAAATAACGAATACTTCATATTAGTTAAATAAGAACTTGTTACTCATTAGTTAAATTAGTGCTAACATAAGAGAGAAAATTATACTGCTCAATTATTAGCCGGCTCATCTTATACCTAAAAACACTATGTATGAGAGAGAATTTTTTACTGCTTAATTGTTATCCGGCTTATTTTATACTTAAAGAACAACACATATGAAAATTTCTCTACTCAATTGTTAGCAAGCTTATTTTCTAATACCTAAAAGCACTACATTTGTGATAGAAAATTCTTCTGCTCAATAATTAGCAAGTTTATCTTGTTATATAAAAAAACACTGCATATCAGAGAAAATTCTCTCTTTGAATTGTTAATCTGATAGTATGATATCGAAAAGATTACAAATGGGAGCAAAAAATTGCATGCTCAATTGTTAGCTGTATTATCTTATACTTAAAAAGAATTACATATGAGAGAAATCTCTCACTCAATTGTGAGCAAACTTATCTTCTCAGCTTCTTATGTGTAAGAACAATATATATGAGAGAGAAAATTATCACGTTCAATTCTTAGCCGTCTTATTTAAACACCTAAAAGCACTATATATGAGAGAGAGAAGATTCGCTTGCTCAACTGTTAGCAGTGTATCTTCTAATATCTAAAAGCACTATATGAGAGAGAAAATTCTCCCGTTCAAAATTATCTTCTTATACCTAAAACGCTTACATATTAGAGAGATAGTTCTCTCGCTCAATTGTTAGTCGGATTATCTTATACTTAAAAGAACTATATGAGAGACAAAAATTGTTCTGCTCAATTGTTAGCAAGTTTATTTTCAAACAGCTAAAAGCACTACATATGATAGAGAACATTCTCGCTCTCAATCATTAGTCGGCTTATCTTATAACTGAAAGCATTATATATAATAGAGAACCCTCCCCCCTCTCAATTGTTAGCTGAATTATCTTCTTATACATAAAAGCATTATTTATGAGATATATACATCTCTCGCTCAATTGTCAGACAACTTATTGCTTAATCTTTCTTATATCTAAAATCTTATATCTAAAATCACTACATATGATTAAAAAAATCTCCCGCTCAATTGTTAGGAGACTGGTCTTATACCTAAAAACACTACATATGATAGATAAAATCCTCCCTCAACTCTCAACTGTTAGTTGGATTATCTTATTATAAAATCCTCCCTCAACTCTCAATTGTTAGTTGGATTATCTTATTTCCAAAAGCACTGCTTATAAAAGGGGGGGAGAGAGAGAGGGGGAGGGAGGGAGAGAGAGGGAGAGAGAAATATTTCACTCAATTGTTAGACGGCTTATGGCTTAATATTTCTTATATTTAAAATATTATATCTAAAAGAACTACATATGAGAGAAAAACTTTTACCGCTCAATTGTTAGCTGACTTATCTTACCTTATACTAAAAAGCATTACAAATTAGAGAGAAAGTTCTCTCTCTTTAGCAAGTTTATTTTTTTAGCTTCTTATACATGAAAGCAATAAAAATGAGAGAGAAAATTATGTCGCTCAATTGTTAGCCGACTTGTCTTATATTTAAAAGAATTACAAATGAGAGAGAAAGTTATTCCTCTTAATTGATAGCAAGCTTAAATTCTAATACCTAAAAGCACTAATCTTCTTCTTATTATACTTAAAAGAATTACATATGAAAGAGAAAGCTATCACGCTCAATTGTTACCAAGCTTAACTTCTACTACCTAAAAGCACTAATATGAGTGAGCAAGTTCTCCTCCTCAATTCCCCCGATCAATTGTTAGTATATCTTCTAATACCTAAAAACACTACATATTTTAAGACGATGTCATTTTTTTTAATAAAATGTGACATTTTATTATGTGACATTTTTTAGAATAAAGTATGTGTAATAATTCACCCATAATAGCAATTTAGTTTCCCAGTAAGATAGGAAGAAACATATTTAGAGTAGGATTTTAATTATATCGATGTGCCCAATTAGCATATGAAGAAATTAATTTGTGTTTCAGAACTCCATTCACTTTTTTCAAACAATAAATTGTGCAACTGCACCAATTGTGACATGCAGTTAATTTCCTAGAGAATATTATAAGATACAGAGTATTTAATATCTAATATCTAATAAAATTGCTTGCAACTTGTAAGATACGTACTAATCACTAAAAGAGTGTCACAAATGATAAAAAAGTAAGTTCGATATCATTGATCTATTGGTAAAAAAATAATAAACCAAAAACGTAGATTTTTTAAATAAACATTACTTCCATCCCATAAGCTGATAAGTTTTAATAATGCGGAGAGAGTGATGTAAAATACATTACATAATACACTTTGTAATAGAAAACAAATTATGCACAAAATACATGTTTCCTACTATAGAATATAAAAATTAAATTTCCGATACATTAATAAATTAATGTAGTCAAAGTAGAGTATGTGACTATTATAACACTCTATATTGTTCTTATTTTGTTCATATATTAGAAATCAGTTATTTATTTAATGACGTATAAGTTGTGTCAAGGTTTGATGAAACTATTCTTTTCTTATATATAGATAGGTAAATAGTTGAATTTATTGAATCACATATATTAGATATCTTCTTCATTTGAAATGTTATTTAGGTCTATTTGGTAACACTGAAATTGCCTGAATCTACCGAAATTGATGACGTTTTTGCTCAATTTCCTTAATTACGAAGAAATTGTATTTTAAAATATATGTCACATATATTTATTTCAGCGGTTTTTTCTTAGTGTCACTTTGATATAATTTTAAACATAATTATAGTCACTAAAAATTAATAAGTCATATTTTTATCTAAAAGCACTACATGATAGAGAAAATTCTCCCGTTCAACTATTAGCAAAATTATCTTCTTATACCTAAAACGCTTACATATTAGAGAGATAGTTTTTCCACTCAATTGTTAGTCGGCTTATCTTATACCTAAAAGCATTATATATGATAGAGAAATTCCCCCTATCAATTGTTAGCTGGATTGTCTTATACCTAAAAGCACTACTTATGAGAGATAGACATCTCTCGCTACATTGTGAGACGACTTATTGGTTAATCTTTCTTATATCTGAAATCTTATATCTTAAAATTCTACATATGATTAAAAAAATCTCTCGCTCAATTGTTAGCAGATTTGTCTTATACATAAAGCACTACATATGATATATAAAATCCTCCCTCAACTCTCAATTGTTAGTTGAATTATCTTACATTTAAAAGCACTGCTTATGGAAAAAGACAGCTCTTCCAATTACTATTTTGCCAACTTTTTCTCCTTTGCTATACTGCAGCCACGTGGCTCTCTCATTTTTTTTCCTATACCGAATGAACTCCCAGCCTAATTGCTCAATTTTTTCTCCTTTTTAACTCCCAGCCTTTTTAGCAGCTCCTGTTTCTATCTTCTCCCCGTGACCACTTTTTACTTCAAAGCTACCGATCCAAGGAAAGGAAAGGATGAGTTGGTGGGGCCCAAGTTATAAAAAATCCCAAATTTCTTTAAAGTGTTATAACTTTTTCATTTTTGCTCCAACATTTCTAAAAAATATATCAAAATTCATAATTTTTTGTGATATTTCATATGAGATCAATATTGAATATATACAAATATACACTACAAAAAAACACGCCGTTTGTCACGGATTTTTGTCACGGATTCCGGCCGTGACAAAGTTGTCACGGGCTTTGTCACGGAATATTGGGATTTGTCACGAAAATATTTTGTCACGGATTTATCCGTGACAAAATCCGTGACAATATTTTGTCACGGATTTGGTCCATGACAAATGTACTCCGGTGACCGGTTTTTTACTCCGGTGAATACTTTTTTTGCTTCCGGGTATTTCTCACGGACTGTTCCGTGACAAATCCGTGACAAATTTCAAAAAAACTTTGTCACAGATGGATCCGTGACAAAATCCGTGACAAACCTCAATTATTGATTTTCCAGCGGTAACCTTTAATAATACGGTACGGAAAAAGCGTTGTCACGGATTTATCCGTGACAAATCCGTGACAAACTTTTTTATATAACCCAACCTCATCGTCCATTACAATTGCAAGAACAACAATTATCAGTTCAAAAATTCGTAGATTCAAGTGATGTAGTATCGGTTTAAAGATTGAATGATGTAATCCGTCAGTTCATCATTTTCCCAGTTTATGCAGATAAGGTATGTCATTTTAACTAATTTCTTTTAATTGTGTAATAAATTAATTATTAGCTTAATAATTAATTATTATTAGTGAGGTTAGGATTCTTTTTTCTTTATATAATAATAATTAATTATTAGCTTAATAATTAATTAGTGAGGTTAGTTGTTCATTTATTTAAACTATTAACGTAATTTAGTGAGGTCATGTTAATTTTCATATTATTAACAATATATTATTAAACTATTAACGTAATTTAATTAGTTAAATTTAAATATAAATATTAATTAGTTAAATTATTGTTATTATTAATGCATAATTTAGGATGTGTAGTGATGATTTAAGTATTAGCTAGCTTATTATAGATTAATTAATTAGTGACTTGTAGTGATTTAATTAAGTTAGCTAGCTTAATTGTTAGGTTATTAATTATCACCAATTATTATTTATTAGCAATTATTGTTAATGGGATGCATAATATAGCTAGCTAGGATTGAAACTTTATTATTATTTAGTTTAGTGTGAATTATTATTGTGAATTATTAATGAGATAATATTTAACAATAATATTAGTTAAATGTAAATTAATTAACTAATTAATTAAGTTAAAACATTGAGGAAATGGGTTTAGAATTTGATGAGTTGATAATATTAGTTAGATTTAAATATTAGTTAATTGATCAATGATGATGATTAGGTTTAATTTGTTTATTAATTAGTTAATTATTGTTAATGCATAATTTAGGATTTGTAGTGATTCTGATGACGAACTTGATGAAATTCAAGATAATGAGGCCATCTTGGCGGCAACCGGAGTTTACAAGGGCCGGGTGCCGCTTATGGGTTCTGAAGGCGTACGGATCCTAGAGAAGGCCAAAGGAGCTAGCTCATCTTCTCATTCGGCATATGATGATCGGGTTACCCGCCTCGAGAAACTATTGGAGGAACGTGAAGTCGAGGCTCGAAGGCGGGATGAAGAAGCTCGGATACGGGATGAAGAGCAAAGAAGAACAAGAGAAAGGTTGGAAGAGATGGAACGCCAAATGCGTATTTTCAACGCCACCTACCGTCCATCCATGCACATACAGCACCCCGAGATGACCCCACAAGTTCCCTTCGCGAGCAATATGGGCAATATGGGCAGTATGGGCAGTAGGGGTTTTGCTAATTATAGTCATATCTCCAACAACTTTCCATATGGATATTATGATGATATCCCGACTCCCGGAGCTCAAGCTTACCGTGGCAGCAGCCGTGCTGGCAGCCGCAGTGGCAGTCGAGGCAGCCATCGTGGTGGCAGCCGTGGCCACGGAAGGCAACCCGATCATCGTGACGAACCTAATGATGATGATGCTGATTATGATGACCATTGATGGTTTGTAATAATTAGTTTATTGACATTTTAAGGATTTTTAAATTTTGATGTGTTAATGTATGAATATTAATTATTTGTGTTATATAATAATGGTTTGATTAGATTATTATTTATTATGATACCTAATGTATAATGATGATTAATGATGATTGTTTAATTATTTATTATAAACAATTATTTATTAAGATTAATGATGATGATTGTTTAACTATTTATTAAAAACAATGTTTATTAAGTTTAAATTTTTGAAAAAGCGCCTAAATTTTAATGGTTATTATTTATTAAATAAACTTTTGAAATAAACATTCAAAAAATTAATGCGCTGAACTTTTAAATTTTTTTTAAAAAAAAATTAAACTTTTGTCACAGACTGTTCCGTGACAAAATATAAATTCATTTTATTCTAAATACATAAAACGCTTAAAATAACGTATTTTTTTTAAAAAAAAATGTTTTGTCACGGATGGGATCCGTGACAAATTCAAAATTTTGAATTTTTTTTGAAAAATTTAAAGCACCCGCCCACTCTATTTTAAAATTTTCAAATTTTTTTCAAAATGTTTTGTCACGGATATTTCCGTGACAAAATTTAAAATTTGAATTTTCCGGATCGTTTCAAATACCCGCCCACTCTATTTCGAAAAACCTTTTTTTAAATTTGTCTCGGAAATTTCCGTGACAAATAATTATTATTTTTTTGAAAAATAAAAAAATTTATTCACGGATGCGGCCGTGACAAATGAAAGGCGATGGGGTTCCGGTGAAGTGTTTTGTCACGGACGGTGGCCGTGACAAAAACGTTATCACGCCCCTGGTGTCACGGATTTTTTCCGTGACAAATCCGTGACAAAAAATCATTTGTCACGGATTTTTTGAACTACCGTTCGTGACAAAATCCGTGACAAACGGCGTGTTTTTTTGTAGTGATAATTTATTAACGGCCTCAATAATTATGCTTAAAATTATCTATATTTATATACTCCCTCCATTCCATAAAATTTAGCCAAAATTGACTTGCACGAAATATAATAAAATACAAATTGTGTACTTGATATTTCTGTAGAGAAATGAGAAATAACTTTAACCACATATTTCTTACTTTAAGTGGATATGACAATGTTTTTTGGGACAACAAAAAACTGAAAGTTTGCAATGTTTTATGGGACGAAGATAGTATATGAAAGTAATAGGTTATTAAAAAAAATGTTTTACCCCAATTATTATGCAATGTGTCTATCTACCAGTGTTAGAGAGCATTGCTCTACTTATGCTACATGGCTTCATCTTTTGCATTTTTGTTGTTGTCTTGATAAAGAAACAATTTACGAAGATAGAAAATATAAAATAATGATAATAATAATAATATTTCACTATTCACTCCGTTTATTCTTCATCTAATAATGATAATAATAATAATATCATAATAATTCTAATACTCCATATCTAAATGAAAACAATGAAAACCTATCCGTATTTCTAATTCTAAAAAATTTCAGCCGCTAACAATAAATAGAGTAGTATTCTATTAGCTTTTTACTACGTATTATTTAATTTGTTTACATCTGATCTGTTTTCCCAAACATGTGCATTTTATTATTACCTTAAAATTTGATTTGATGTATAATTTATTTAGTTTTTTTCTTTTTGTACTCTATTAAAGTTTGATATGATCTCATGGAAAACAATTCATTTAAAAAACTTACTTTTTGGTCACTTATGATACTCTTTTGTTGATTAGTACTACCTCCGTCCCACTAATATTGGGACAAGAAAATGTGGCACGATTATTAAGAAAAGTGGATTTGTGTGATTGATACTAAATTGATAAAGTATGAATAAAGTAAAAATGATTTAGAGTCATACAAACTTTACCAAATTTGGTATGTGACAATCTTAGTTGGATTTCCCGAAGAGGTAAAATGAGACAATCTTAGCGGGACGAAGGAAGTATGTGATAAGATGTTATCAATTTTACTATTATTTTATTATGATCGGGTTTGTCTTATTTATATAATTTTATTCATTTCTATTCAAATTTGGTTTGGTCTGAATTTAGAAACAATTCAATTAAAAACACTTATTATATTGTTTTGGGCATTTATCATGATACTCTTTTGTTTATTAGTATGCGATAAGATGTCAGCAATTTTATAGGATATCAAAATGGGGATATAGCCCTTAGTAGGACTAAAATAAGCCTAAAATTCAAGAATATGTGTATAATCCCTTTATTCCCAAAATAGGATTAATATATCTCTTTTTCCCATTCTACCCCCTTCCTATAATCCTCCCTCAACTCTCAATTGTTAGTTGATAACTACATATGTAGTTATCATTTTCATTTTCTAATTTTTAAATTTCGAATGACATTATAATAAGGAAGGAATAAGATTTATAACACTTTAATAATGGGAGTATAATGTTATATTTTTATTAAAAGTAAGACTATATTAAAGGGCGGAGTTTCTTTAAGATAGATGATGTATATTAGTAGGCCAAATTTTTATATTTTCTGTCTTCGTAATTCTTTTTTGTAAAGCAAATAACAAAAATGCAAAAGATGAAACCACGTGGCATAAGTAGAGCAATGATCTCTAACACTTGTAGGTAGACATGTTACATAGTAATTGAGGGTAAAACCGTATTTTTAATAGCCTACTATTTTCTTATTATATATAATTATATACTACCTCCGTCCCAATTTGATGGTTCTAGTTCATATTCACTTGGTCAACATAAATCATTCTTAATCATTTACTTTTTATATCATTTTTTTATGAAATTTGATTCAGCTTTTTGCGACTTCGTAAAACTTTTAATGTAGTTTCTGAATATGTAAATTTTATTTGCTACAAATAATTTGAGTGCGGAAAATAATTTGTTTGCTTTATCGTCGGTCAAGCCTCGTAAATCCCAACAGGACTATCAAATTAGGACAGAGGCAGTATAATTTTATTTTATACATAATTATAAAGACCGTTAACAAATTATATTTTTATATATTCAATATTGATCTCAAATGAAAGATCGCAAAAAATATGAATTTTGATATATTTTTTGTAAAAATTGGAGCAAAAATGTAAAAGTTATAACACTTTAAATAAAATTGGGGTTTTTTATAGTTTGGGTCCCACTAAATACATATCCTGCGTCCACCTTTCCTTTCTTTCTACGTGTTCGGTTGATTTGGAGTGAATGAAAAAACCACGTGTCATTGTCGTAGAAAAGGAGTGAATTGAGGAGAGCTTGACACCTAAGATTTTTTAAGGGTAAATTTGTATTTTTATGAGCCATTTCTTTTCTTATATATAAATAGATGAGAGTTTTTGTAGCCTATTTTTTTATATTCAAAATGTGGGGGTACGTCGGACTCTGGACTAAGTTGTTGTATCTTTGTTCATAGCAGTACAATGCATAATATATCCTAAGATATAATACTTGTTTGCGTACGAGTGAAATGATTTTACAAATATTGTACGGAGTGCTAATTAATATATGTATGGCGAATCAATATAAGTTACAGAAATTGTCCTAAATAGGAGTAAAAGTGTTTTGAAATTTCAAAATAGGAGTATCATGTTTTTTATTTCTTGAATATGAGGTAATCTGCCAAGTTTGAAAGAAAATGCCATGTTTAAAAGCTTTGTAACGCCAAACTTGGCAGAAATTTACTTCTATTCAAGGAATAAAAAACATGATACTCCTATTTTGGAATTTCAAAACATTTTTACTTCTATTAAGGGAATTCTCTCTATAAGTTATTCCTATTAATTTGGTGACTACATGTGGTGAAAGGGGTTTTTATCCCACTCATTCGTGATTTTCCGAGATTCACTAAATTTTATTTTCTTAAAATTTAATGGCGAATATTGATAAAATTTTGATGTACAAATAAAGTTTGAGATATATATTATCTCTCTATGAATTCTAAAATACAGTGCTATGCAACTGTTTTTACATATTTAAAAGTGTGAGAGTGTTTAGCTAAATTCTTATTATCTATCTCCTCGAGTGAAAATGAGTTTTTAATTTATAGCTTTTGGTTACTTTTGAATAGGGGTGGGCATGATTGGTTAACCGCACTTTGATTAACCAATTTTCGGTTAACCGTGATGTTGGTTAATATAGTGTTAATGTCATTATCCGTACCGTAACATTGGTTAACCGATACTCGGTTAACCAAAATATCGGTTAACCACTAATTGGTTAACCAAAAACCATGAAAAGGAAAAGAATAAAGTCATCAAACTACTCCGTATTAAAAATTTGATTTGTTAAAAAATACATAAGCAGTTCAAGATTAAATTAGAAATTTTATATAGCAGAAATTTTTCCAAAAAAAACTCCCCGGCTCCGAAACTTTAATTAGCCCGTATACATCGTATTATCTTTCCATGTGTACTACTACTTTTCCATATTATATGTTCCTATATCTATGTATTTATACGGTTATTAGGTTAATTATACTATTTATATACGTATAGCACTAAAGAAAATGTATACATTTCAGTAGCTTATGTACGGAGTAATTGATTGTAAAGTGTGTATATTATTCCACTATGCATGCGTGAACGTGAATATACATACACCAAAATTCCAAAAATGATACAAAGTGTTCACTTTCCCGTCCCCGTACCTTTGTCGAAATTTATTGTCCGTGTGTAGTGTTTGCGTATAATCCTACGGTTACTGGTTAACCGGTGACATAATTTCCAAAACCGTAACCGTACCGCTTACCATTTTTCCCTCCCGGTTGGTTAATCGTACCGTGAGTTTTAAAAATTCCGGTACGGTTAACCGAAAAAGACACCGGTTTTCCGGTTTTTCGGTACGGTTAAACGGTTACGGTTTTTTGTGCCCACCCCTACTTTTGAAGTAGTAGAGCATATGTATCCACCATAGTTTTGGCAAGATTGCCAAGACTTTTCGGGTGAGTGAATCATTCATTATCAAACACATCATTTATATAGAATTTTAGTTGATGCTCAAGAGGGAAAGTGTGATATTTGATACATTAACACATAAAATCAGTCATTAGGTAATTAAGTAATTACCAATTCATTCTTTTATATTATTTTGTGTAAATCAAGTAATTTTTAAA